CGTGGTGAGGGGCTCAGCGGCTTCTCCCCATCCCGCTCGCAGTGCTCGCTGAGCTCCCAGTTACAGTCGCACTACAGTGAACAGGAGGAAACAGCGTACTTAGAGATACACTCCCAGCCAAAATATTCTGCTCAGCCTTTGCCTCTTTAATTCTTCATTATTCTTTGGGTCTCAGCTCGCAAGTCCCTTTGTCCAGGAGTCCTTCTCCAGGCCTGCTTGGCCATGTCACGGGGCTCCCCTGGGCTCCCGCAACTCCCTGGACTTGCTGGCCCCGATCGCTCAGCCTGGGCATTCCGTCATCCAGCCCCATCACTCGGCTGGCACCCTCTGGGGATGGGTCTGTTCCCTCCTGCCCTGGAGCACAGCACCCCGGGAAGCTTCGTTCTGTGTTCCCGGCATTGCCAAAAGGAGATCCTCGTGGATAGTTTGCCAGATGAGCAGAGGAAAGAGCCCCACATCTTCCAGAAGGTCCCTCTGACTCTCCTCCAGGACTTTTTTTTTTTTTTTTTTTTTTTTTTTTGTGGGACAGGGAGAGTTAGACAGTGAGAGAAAGGCCTTCCTTTTTCCGTTGGTTCACCCCCCAAGTGGTCGCTATGGCTGGCGTGTTGCGGCCGGCGCGCTGCACCGATCCGAAGCCAGGAGCCAGGTGCTTCTCCTGATCTCCCATGGGGTGCAGGGCCCAAGCACTTGGGCCATCCTCCACTGCACTCCCAGGCCACAGCAGAGAGCTGGCCTGGAATAGGAGCAACCGGGACAGAATCTGGCACCCTGACCGGGACTAGAACCCGGGGTGCTGGTGCCACAGGCGGAGGATTAGCCAAGTGAGCCATGGCGCTGGCCCTTCCAGGACTTCTTAATGCACATACACACACACACTCTTTGCCCCTAGTGCCCAGGCCCATGACACACACACCCATCTCTCTCCCACAGCTGTGGCCCCTGTCCTGCGTCCAGCCTTCGTCCCCCATGTGTTACAGAGAGCAGGTGAGGGCCAGGGTCGTCACCCCGGCCACGGCACGCTCCTCAGGCCCGCGGACTCCTCCACCCACACCCTGACAGAGTCTGCTCTCTCTTCTGCAGCAGGTGCTCCCCGCCCCATGGCCCTGCGGCCCCCTCACCAGGCCCTCGTGGGGCCCCCTCTGCCCGGGCCCCCTGGACCACCTATGATGCTGCCTCCAATGGCCCGGGCCCCAGGGCCCCCCCTGGGCTCCATGGCTGCTCTGAGGCCTCCCCTGGTGAGTGTGGGCGGGGAACTGTGGTTTGAGGTGCAGGGGGCGGGGAGACCCTCGACGCGGGCCCACTGGGCTGTGTCCAAGTCCGCCTCTCCTGGGTTTTCAGTTTCTGCCTTCTCACTTGCTGACTTGTCTCTGCCTTTGTCTTTCCCTGTTTCTTTCTTTGGCCAAATCTTTGTTTTTCTTTGCTTTTATGAAGAGAAGCTCACACTGTCCATTTTGCTATATTCATGCTATTCCCCTCTGTGTATGTATGGGGGTGTTGGGTTTTTGCTCAGCCATTTGAAGCAAATTATAAGTGAAGCTGTTTCTTCAATCCTGAACGCCTCAGTATTCATCTCCTGAGAAGAAAGACATTCCCTCTGGTATCATGGCACGTGGTCACGTCTGAGAAGTTCACAGTAATGCTGTCTCCACGTTTCCTTCCATCATCCCTCTGCTTTTCTGTCTGAGCGTTTGTAGTTCACCCTGTCGGTCTCTCTCTCCATCTCTGCCTGCCTTTTGTTTGTGTTTGACAGAGACTCCCTTCTCTGCCTTGGTTTCTTGCCTGCGCTCTGGCGCCCAAGCCCTGTGCTTCGCTGTGCAGGATGGGGCTGGAAGTGAGGCCTGCTGTGATCTGACCCCACTCGTGCCCTCTCACCCTCAGGAGGAGCCAGCGGCACCCCGAGAGCTGGGCCTAGGCCTGGGATTGGGCCTGAAGGAGAAGGAAGAGGCAGTGGTAGCGGCAGCTGGGCTGGAGGAGGCCAGTGCAGCGGTGGCTGTGGGGGCAGCAGGCGCCGCAGCAGGCCCTGCCGTCATTGGGCCCAGCCTTCCGCTGGCCCTGGCCATGCCATTGCCGGAGCCGGAGCCTCTGCCCCTGCCTCTGGAGGTAGTACGTGGCCTGCTGCCTCCTCTGCGCATTCCAGAACTCCTGTCCCTGCGTCCAAGACCCCGGCCCCCTCGGCCTGAGCCACCTCCTGGCCTCATGGCTCTCGAGGTAAGCAGGGAACATAGCAGTGAGGGGCCAGAGGGGCTGGGAGCAGACAGGGACCCCTGAGCTTTTCCATACAGAAACACACACACTGCTCTGTCCAGACCTGGGGGGCCTTCGGGATGGGGGAGGTTGAGGCAGACACCTGCACCTCACATCCAGTCCTCTGCAGTCAGGGTAGGAGGGCCAAGGGGCGGGTCATGGGTGGGAAACTCCAACCCCATCAACTTTCTTCCGCAGGTCCCAGAGCCCCTGGGTGAAGACAAGAAGAAAGGGAAGCCGGAAAAGCTGAAACGCTGCATTCGCACAGCCGCCGGGAGCAGCTGGGAAGACCCCAGCCTGCTGGAGTGGGATGCAGGTGAGGGGCCAGAGTACAGGGCCTCGTGTCGCCCAGCCAGGGACGAGACGGGCTGTGGGCAGGGGAGGGAGGGGCTGTAGGCGGGAAAGGTGAGCCGCGAACTCCACGCTTCTGTGCAGGTGCTGACGGGTGCTGCCGTCAGCCGCCCTCACAGAGGTCCAGACCATGTTCCTGTTGGGCAGCTCCCTCACCCACCGTGGGCCAGAACCTGGTGGAGGGGAGTGTACTGAGGGCTTCTTCACTCAGGCAGCGCCTCCTCTGCTAATAGTCACAGAGCATTCTTTTCTCCCCATTTTTTTTTTTTTTTTCCATTTACCTGAGAGAGATAGAGAGAGAGCTCTCAGCCACTGGTTCACTCCCCCAAATGCACGCAGTGGCTGGCCAGACGCCAGCCCAGTCAATGTTAGCCTCCCGTGTGGGTGGCAGGAACCCAACTACTTGAGCCATCGCTGCTGCTTCCCAGGGTCTGCGTTATCAAGAAGCCAGAGACCGGTCTCCAACCTGGGTGCTCCAGTGTGGGGCATGGGCTTTCCACTGTGACTTACCACCCACCCCTTCCCCAGCCTCCTAAAAACATTTTGAACAGGAACAGCAGAGTGAACAGACATCTGTCCAGCACCGAGGTCTAGCGGTTAGCATTTTGCTGTGTTCCCCTTGCTTCTCTCTGTGTGGATGGGAGCTTTGGTTTGGTTTCTGCTCATTTGAAGTAAATTGTAAGTGAAGCTGTTACTTCAGTCCTGAACACCTCAGTACTCATTTCCTAAGAGTCATTTTCTTTCATATCACGATACCATTAAGAAAATTAACAGTAATCCTGTTCATTGTTACAGAATTCAGTAGTTGTTTATATGCAGATTTCTCCAGTTGTCCCAGAACTTTTAGAGCTATTTTTCTGCAAACCAGGATGTATGCAGTTTTTTGTTTTTTTTTTTTTTTTTTTTTTTTTTTGGAAGATTTATTTATTTAAAAGGCAGAGTTAGAGTGAGAGAAAGAGAGAGGAAAGAGAGAGGTCTTCCATCTGCTGGTTCACTCTCCAAATGGCCACAGCGGCCAGAACTGGGCCGATATGAAGCCAGGAGTTCCCAGGCCATAGGAGAGAGCTGGATCAGAAGTGGAGCAGCTGGGACTCGAACCAGTGCGCATATGGGATGCCAGCACTGCAGGCAGCGGCTTTACCTACTACTCCACAGCGCCGGCCCTTGTATGTAGTTTTATGTCTCTAGTTCTCTCTCAAAGATTGATTTTTGTTCATTTGAAAGACAGAGTGGCAGATCTCCCATCCACTGGTTCACGCTGTAAATGGCTGCAGCGGCCAGGGTTGGACCAGGTGGAAACCAGAAGCCAAGAACTCCATCCAGTCTCCCATGTGGGTGGCAGGGGCCTACTTGGGACATCTTCCTCTGCCTTGCCAGGTGCAAGAGCAAGGAGCTGGAGCAGAGTGGAGCAGCCAGGACTCGAGCCCACACTCTGATACGGAATGCCAGCGTCACAAGCAGTGGCTTGGTCCTCTGTGCCAAAATGTTGGCCCCTCCAGATGATCTCTTACTGAAAGTGGTCTCCCTCCCACCTCTGATGTGTGGGAGGGAGACCATAATATTTTTGTCAAGTGTCTAGGCTAGTTGTCACGTAGAAGGTTCAGTCTTGGGGTGGCCTCACTTGTTAGAGTGCCCTGAATCGCCACAGAAGCCCTAGGGCAACCAAGTGATAGCTGAGGAAAGACTCACCTCCCACCCAGGCCTTGACTTCTCCTGTCCTGGGATCATCTACCTGCCCCCTGTCCACGGTCACGTAGCCTCAACCCAGGTGGGGCCAGTGCAGACTGGCGAACCTAGTTCTGTAGCCTTGGACAAGTCACTTACCCTTTCAAGCCTCGTTTTCCTCCCGGGAATAATAGTACGGACCTCATGGGGGTGGGGAGCCGTGGGACTCGAACTTGTTCAGAAGAGGCAGGGGCCCAGCCCAAAGCATGTGCCCAAGCAGAGGCAGAGTGTTCAGGTGCAAGGGAGAACCCGAGTGGGCTTTGCAGGTGGAGCAGAGCTGGTGAGGGTGGGCCCAGGCGACGTGGGAGTGCTGGGGCTCTGAGGAAAGGCCAGAGCCGGCACAGAATTAGGGCCTTCATAGGAATGGGTGAGATGGGTGAGTTGGCCCTGGGGAGGGACAGCATGGTTGGGGCCTAAAGGTGAGGATTCTGCAGCCACATCCTGAGCTCATGTCCCAACGAGGGGCAGCAACTTGGCCTCTATCCCTAGAGTGAAGGAGTTGGGAACACTAGTGTATGCAAATCTCTGTGGCTGTCCTAAGAGGTCCCCGGGCAAGCTGTGGGGTTTGAGAGGGAAGAGGGCTAGGGGACAGGCCAGCGAGGGCAGGACCGTTCACGGAGGGGGAGCCCAGGCCAGGCGTGTGCATTCTCCGACGTGTTCTCTCTCCCAACCCCAGATGACTTCCGGATCTTCTGTGGGGACCTGGGCAATGAGGTAAATGATGACATCCTGGCACGCGCCTTCAGCCGCTTCCCGTCCTTCCTTAAGGCTAAGGTGATCCGTGATAAGCGCACAGGCAAGACCAAGGGCTACGGCTTTGTCAGCTTCAAGGACCCCAGCGACTACGTGCGCGCCATGCGTGAGATGAATGGTGGGTGAGGCCTCCCCTAGGGGTTACAGGCATGGCAGGCATCTGGCCCAAGCCTCGCCCCCTCCTGACCTTGAACCCTGCATTCCACAGGGAAGTACGTGGGCTCGCGCCCCATCAAGCTTCGCAAGAGCATGTGGAAGGACCGGAACCTGGACGTGGTCCGTAAGAAGCAAAAGGAAAAGAAGAAACTGGGCCTGAGATAGGGTCTGGGGCTGGGCACCCGCTCCCACCTGCTGGGCCCTGGCTTCTCCCACAATTCTCTTTGGAAAACCCCCAACTGTCCACCTACTCACCCCAAAGCAGTTTCAATAAATTTATGTTCCTTTCCATCCCTGGCGAGGCTTGGGACTGCTGTGCAGAGCAGGCTCGGCACCCCACCTGAGGATGGTGGGAGCCTAGAAGTTCACCCACACAGACAGCAGCCAGAGCGGGAACGCTGAGAGGCGTGATACAGGAGAGAAGCCAGTCTCCAGGCAAGGAGGCCTGGGGCTGGGGCCAGGCAGTCCCAAGCACGTGGTCACTTTTGAGCCCCTCCTGTGTGCAGGTCCATCTTGCAGCCTCTGAAGTCCATGCTGATGACCATTCCAGAGGTGGAGTGGGGCTCTGACAAGAGCGCAGCCAGGCGGAGCTGCCTGCAGCCCCTGTCCTCAGCGCCGAGGCAGGGCAGGCCAGGCTCGGCCTTTCTGGAGCTCACCGCATTCTGGGCTTTCTCTTCCACAAGCGCTGAGGGTCTGGACGAGATGGACAGAACAGCAACGGAAACACCCGTGGTCCAGTGGCAGAAGCTAGGCCAGAGGGTGCCCAGAGAGGTCAGGGTAGGGCTGGGCAGCCCAGGGTGCCGGCTTGTGGCCAGGAAGGGTTTCCCGAAGGAACTGCCCACTTTGGAGATTCCCTCTTGTCATCCTTACCCTCTGGGTGTCAGACTGTTGGTGTGTTTCTCTGCCCAGTCAAACCCTGTGTGAACCTCAGTGGGTTCCTGTGTCCCTTTCTCCATATCTGAGTCTGGTGGCTCTCTCTTCGCTTCCCAGCTCTAAGCTGGCCTCCACCTGTCTGAAAATGTGTCCATGCAGGACCCGTACTCCCAGCCAAGAGCGTAGACGTCACCCTAAGGGCAGCAGCAAGCCCCTAAAGCCAGGACAGAGCTCTCAAGCCACAGGCAGGGGACTGGCATTATGGTCCTTCCAAAGAGCCCGGAGGCCACCGCCGTGGGCCAGCAGGAGGAGGGAGTGAGGGGCTCCCAGGGACAGGGCCGGCAGAAGTGAAGGCTTAGAGGGGGCTTGGCGGGAAGGAAGACAATACCAAGGCGTCTGGCGAAGGAGGTCACCCAGGAGAGGTATCAGATTTCCTCCTTTCCTGTCTTCCCCCTCCTTACTGCCCTCTCTGACGTCACATTTTCCAGTCTGGTCAGAGGGGTGAGGGCCTTCCTCCCGGGCAGGAAGTCCCCTTCAGCCCCCGGCCACCTGGCCTGGACCACCCAGCCCCAGGACTTTCAGACGCCTGTCCCCCTAAACTGCCTTCTCCCTGCAACCCCTGGGCAAGCGGGGAGTCAGGATGGTGCCAGGGGGTCTACAGTGGTGCAGGCATCTTCCTGAGGACAAGACACACACACTAGAGATGGGAGATCCAAGGATGAGATGGGGAGGGAGCCTGGGAGGCAGAGTGCAACAGGAAGGGAGGTGGGAGAACCCCACAGAGGAGATGGCACGTGAGAGCCCTCGGGGATGGCAGGGGCAGGCCCGAAGTGTCTCTCAGACTGGATGACACTGGAGTCAGGCCTGGTGCGACTGAGGCCAGACCCAGGGAGAGGAGGCCTGGGGCCCGGGGGGCAGGCAGGATGTAGGGAGCCGTGACAACCCAGGGCTCTAGCTCCTACCCCTGCTACCTGAGGCCAGGTGTCCCTTCTGTAAAACAGCAGCAGTGCCTCGGCCTCCCCTCCAGAATGCCGAGCAGTCAGTGACCAAAGCTGAGAGAATGTTCGAGAATGTCCATGCTAAAATACTTTCAATGATAATATAATTTACTTATTACCGTAGCAGATGGACACAGTCTCTAAAACCAGGTTAGCTGTTACGAGGGTTGTCAGACTTAGCAAATAAAATACAGGACACCTAGTTCCGAATTTCAGGTGATAACTTTGTAGTATAGGTGTGCCCCAAATAGTGTGTCCATATATGCTACACACCTGAATGTCTTTAGTTTGCTGAATCATTTGGAGCAAGTTACAGACATTGTAACAGTAAGTGTTCATTTGCTTATGATAGAGACATCTTTCATATATTACTACATCTAAGAGTATTAACGATTCTATGGTATCTCATACTCAGTTCATACTCCGAATTCCCCCAATTGTCCCAAACTATGATAGCATGGAAGGGCCTGGGCTTTGCCGAAGAAGAGAAGCGGGAGGAAGCCAGCTCAACTTCGTCTTATGTAAAGTGGAGCAGGAGTTGTACCTACCTCCTAAAAGGTTAAAGGCAGGCCCACTGCAGAGCCTGTGGCGAGCGAGAAGCCCTCCTTTATGTTAGCGGTTCTTATGGTTACTGTTCCTATGGTTGATGCTATTGACACTTCCCAGGAGCAACCCTGGGCACCATCCCCAACTCAGCCTGGAGTGGGGTGGGGGGTAGGGGGGTGATTCTGGGTTGCCACCCCCTCCCCACCAGAGCAGGCACCCTCCGATGGTGACGTCGGCGAAGGGGGTGGTATCTGGCAGGAAATCCCTCTTCCTGTTGCAGATAAGCCTGACCAGCCCAGCTGACCCCAGACCCTCCTCCACCCCCCTCCACGTCACAGGATCAAGTCCCCAAGACGGAGGGCCTGTCACCAAGCCTGCCGCCCCGCCCCCATCACCCCGTAAACCTCCACCAGCCCCTCTGTCCCGCGCAACCCACTGTTCTCTAAGCCCCTAACCAAGCCCAAACCACCCCCACAGCAGAAGAGCCCCCAGAGACCAGTGCCCACCCCTGAGGCAAGGGGCGCGGCTAGGCCCCGCCCCCACCCCTGCAACTTGACCCAGGCTGCGACCCCCTGCTCTGACGTCTTGGAAAATTCCCCCCTGCCCAGACCCCCAGGGGAGGGGGTGTGTGGTATGAAATGGGGCTGAGACCCCTGGCTGCGGGCAGAAGAACCCGCCAGAGGTGAGCCATGAGCTGGGGCCTGGATGTGTGGGGTAAGAAGGGCCAGGGAGGCTGCACTCCTGGGTCTGCGGGAGGAAGAGGGAAGGGGCAGACCACGGGCTCATCCTTTGCCCCGTGGATTTATCCCGACAGAACGCTCAGGCGCACCCATGGACTTGTGGAACTGGGATGACACATCACCGCAGGAAGTGCCCCCCGTGACCAAGCTGTCGGGGCTGGGTAGGTGCTTGGGCTGAGGCTGTTGCAGTGTCGGGGGGCAGGTACCCAGGTCGGGGTACTTGGCCGGCGCCTCACCCGACCCTAACATCCTCCTTATGGTCTGCAGACGGAGCCGAATTTAGTCTTTATTTCCCTGAGCTGGCGCTCCCAGGGGACACACCAACAGCGGAGCCGAGCTGGACAGGTGGCTGGCGGCTGGGACCCCTGGGGGCTGAGGAAGAAGGGTGGCGGGGTTCCGAGGTTTCAGGCAGAAGGGGGCGTGCCTGGACTCGGGCTGAGTGGGGCTGGGCTCCCCGAGGCCCCGCGTGGCTCCCGAAGTCACTGCACACACAGTCCCCTAATCCCGGCTGCGTTCTGATGCCTCGCAGGGTTCCCAGGGCCGGACTGGAGCCCCGCGGTCCCGCTGCCCGACGCTTCCTGGGGCGCTGGTGAGTGTGCGCGATGGGCGGTGGGCGCTGGGCTCCTGAGACACCGAGCCCCGGAGCGTCAACCCCTAGGCTTTGCGGAGAAAGGGGTCCAGGGCCGGGACACCGGCGGCCTCAAGGTGGCATGACCCGGATCCAGGAGTCCCGGGTCCGAGGCGCCAAGTCCCAGAGCTTGGGCCTCCTCCACCCTCGAAGGGGGCGGGCCCCGGGACCCCTGGGCTCGCCTCACTCGCGGGCTGTTCCTCCCCACAGAGCCCGCCCCTCAGGCCCTTGCGTGGCCCGCAGACTGGACAGACTCGCCGTGCGCCGCCTCGGACCCTTGGAGCCGCTTCGCCCAGGCCCTGGGCCCCGCCCCCTGGGCTGGGTCCGCAGCGGCGGCTGGCCAGAACTGTGCCCCCTCGGCGGGGGAGGCCACCTCGTGGTCGCGCACCCAGGCCGCCCGGAGCACCACCAGCTGGGACTGCCCGGCGGGCTCCGACGGCGCCACCTACTGGGGCACCAGCCTGGGCGGGGAGCCGGGCGCCGACTGCACCGTGTCGTGGGGCGGGCCTGCGGGCTCGGACTGTACGCCCTCCTGGAACCCGGGGCTGCGCACGGACTGCGCCACCTCTTCGGTGTACCAGAGTTCAGCCAGCACCTCTCCGTCCAAACCGAGCCAGCAGCCGGACCGCGCCACTTTGGCTCGTTTCCCCAAAACTAACCACCGAGGTGAGAGTTAATGTGCACGCACAAGACGGCGCCTGGGCACCTAAGGGGGCGGGACCCGCAGAGACTGACGTCCAGGGGGTGGAGGTTAGAGACCTGCGCGCTCGAGGGCAGAGGGTCTTCTGGGAGAAGAGGACTAAGACACTGGGGGTGAGGATTCGAGCTCCTGGGTTATGTGAGAGCAGAGATGAGGGCGCAGACGTCTGGGCCTCCGAGGCTTACTCCTGGGTCCGCCATAGGGGGGCACATACGCGCTCACAGGTCCTCGAGCGCGACTCCCCGGTGGCCTGGGGCCAGCACGCCGGGTGTTCACCTGCCTCCACCCCGCAGGTCCCATTCAGCTGTGGCAGTTCCTCCTGGAGCTGCTCCAGGACGGGGCGCGTAGCAGCTGCATCCGCTGGACGGGCAACAGCCGCGAGTTCCAGCTGTGCGACCCCAAAGAGGTGAGGCAGCTCCCCCGCCCCGCCAAGCCCCTCCGTGCCCAGTACCTACTCCTTGGCCCGCCCCCTGGGCCGGCCCTTGGCAGACCTCGTGCCCGCCGGGACCCCAGCCTCCCGCCACCCCACCCCTAGCTCGCGCCCCGCCCCCGACACCAAGCCCCGCCTCCGATCCGCCCCGCCCTCGCCACTAAGCCCCGCCTCCGCCGCAGGTGGCCCGGCTGTGGGGCGAGCGCAAGAGGAAGCCGGGCATGAATTACGAGAAGCTGAGCCGCGGCCTGCGCTACTACTACCGCCGGGACATCGTGCGCAAGAGCGGTGGGCGCAAGTACACGTACCGCTTCGGGGGCTGCGTGCCCGGCCTCGCCTGCGTGGCCTGTGCGGGCGACGGGCAGCCGGCGGAGACCCAGTGAGCGCAGCCTCCCACGCGCGTGCTTGTGCGTCTTCCCCGCCGGCGCCCTGCGTGTGCGCCCCGACACGCGGGCACCCTCAGCGCTCTCACGGAATCCCTTGACCAGTGCCTTTCCCCTCTACCCCCCAGGGGCCCTCCCCTCTGGGGCGCCTAAGCCCCGCCCCTCGCTGCCAGTCTCCGAGGCCCCGCCCCCTCGGGTGCTCGGGCCCCGCCTCGCCGTCCCCCGAGTTAGTTCGGGCGGTGCGGAGACGCCCACTTCCTGGGCTGGGAGACCCAGACCCTCCGGGAGCTCACCGTGTGCCCAGCCTGAGGGGAGACGTGGGAAGAACCAACGCCAGTGTCACAGGGCCCGCGCTAAACCTACGCACCTGCATCCCATATGGGCATCGGTTCGGGTCCTGGCTGCCCCACTTCAATCCAGCTCCCTGCTAATAAGCCTGGGGAAGCAACAGAAGCTGGGCCAAGCGCTTGGGCCCCTGCACCGCTGTGGAAGACCCGGAAGAAGCTCCTGGCTGGACTTTGACCTGGCCCAACCCAGCCCATTTCGGCCATTTGGGGAGTGAACCAGCCGAAGGAAGATCTCTCCATCTCCACTCTCTCTCTGTACTGTGCCTTTCAAATCAGTATATACTAATCCTTTTGAAAATAGAAATGTATAATTTTACCCATTTTTAATATTTTGGTCTAGCAACTTGTGATACATAGATGACAATCTTGTGAGTTTTTCAAATGTGTGTACAGGTTTTTATAAATACGACTTTTGTAATTAACTCATGTCTAGCCTCATCCTGTATTGTTCAATGAAGAAGGTGCAGGGGGCCTGCCCCGAGCTTCTGTGGCCTACAGCCAAGCTTGTGTGGCCTCCGTGGCTGCTGGCTTCCTGTGTGGACCGCGGCCTGGCCAGGGATTCCTGCACATTCCACTCTTGGGAAACCTTCCCTGCCCGCATTCCCTCTCCAATCACGCGCCTATGCCCTCAGCAGCGGCCTGCCATATGCGGTTGCTGGGACGTTGGTACTAAAATGGGGGGGAGAGGGCTTGGCACGGGGGTAGCTATTAATCAAATTACTTCCGAGGGGACATTTTTCCCACCCCCATTTTCCAATCAATCCCGCGATCTTGAGCTCCTCTGCCCGGCTGAAGACGGAGAGGGGCCGGGACCCTGTAACGGGGCAACTCAGAGCCCTTGCAAGCGCCCCGAACCCACCGTCGCCCGGAGTGATGATGAACAGGCATTCCGCCCAATCAGAGGGCGCGGTTCCTGGCGGGCGTGGCCTGCTTCAGGGACCGCCCGCCCGCGGACGCTCTAGCAGCTGGGAGGACTCGCCTAGGCCCCTCGCCTCCCAGCTTCCGCCAGCCCTAATTCCGCTTCCTGTCTGCCATCGGCGTCTTTGCTGAGGGTCACATTGAGCGGCTAGCTGCTTCAGGGGCGTCGTCAGGTGAGTGTGGAGGGCTCGGGGACCCGGAGCGCAGCCTCCTCTAGGGCGGGCGGAGGCTTCCAGCCTGCGGGGCTGCGGGCCCTGGGACCCGGGCTGCTCCGCTGCTAGGACCAGCTCTCGGTTGTGCGGCTGAGCCTTCCGACCAGGCGGCACTCCAGACAGCTGCATCCTGCATGTATCCCTCCCTCCCTCCCTCCCGCTGGTGAGAGCCCCTTTCCCGGCGAGGAGACCGGGCTGTGGGTTCGGAGGCCCGGCCTGCAGTGCTGGTGGGGCCGCAGCCTGGCTCCCTGGTGTCCTCCTCACTCGTGGACGCTGGGGCGGCCGCAGGGTCACCGCCGATGCATCCTCGCCCGGAACCACGACGCAGTCCCCGGCGCCCGCCTCTGACTCGGTTAGTGCCCCAGCCCCCACCCTACCTGGACCGCCTGCATTTGCCCCTGGCACCTCCGATTCTGCGGGACACGGGCGCTGCGGACTGCGCCGATGAGAGCCGTGTGTCGGCTCCACTTAAGAGACACAGCTCCAGGGTCGGGGGAGTTCCAGGAGTGCTGGCGTTGGAGTGGAGGGCGGGTTCCATCCCTGTTGCAGTAGCCTCTGGTTGCAGCGGAGAGGGTCCTCCCGTAGGAAGGGGGGGGGGAACATTCTAGAATCTCCTGAGAGCTCCAGGGCTCCCACGAGAGCGTTGTCACGGAGGAGTGCCTCAAATCGTGGTGCTTACAGAATCTGCGGTGACTGGCTGGCTGCATTTAAGCAAATTCTGTGAAAGGGGTTTGTGGGTTCATCAGACTCGTGAGGAGTTTGTGGCACCAAAAGGGAAAAAAAAAAGGATTGTAGGTTGCACCGGGATCGAGGCACGTCTACCCTGTGTATGCTGTGTGACCTTGGGGAGTTAGGCACCGTCCCTTCCCCTGGATAGTTCCTGCCTGTTTGAGTGTGTCCACGTAAAGTTTGTACAGTGGGGTACCTGGCGTTTGGGGATCAGGGCTGATTTTGCTAAGGAGTAGTTGTTCATCCTGCTGTGACTTCCACACTCCGGTGTGTGGATTTCTCCCCCCTTCCTGTGTGCATGTGTGTGCGTGTGTTGAAAGGCAGTGGTTGTTCACACCCAGCCCCTCATCTCTCTGGTCCTGCGTGTGTGTGCATGTGTGTGTGTGCATGTGTGTGTGTGTGTGTGTTGAGAGGCAGTGGTTTGTTCACACCCAGCCCCTCATCTCTGGTCCTGCGTGTGTGTGTGTGTTGAGAGGCAGTGGTTTTGTTCACACCCAGCCCCTTCATCTCTCTGGTCCTGTGCACGTGTGTGTGTGTGTGTGTGTGTGTTGAGAGGCAGTGGTTTGTTCACACCCAGCCCCTTCATCTCTGTGGTCCTGCGTGTGTGTGTGTGTGTGTGTGTGTGTGGAAAGGCAGTGGTTTGTTCACACCCAGCCCCTCATCTCTCTGGTCCTGTGTGTGTGTGTGTGTGTGTGTGTGTGTGTGGAGAGGCAGTGTTTGTTCACACCCAGCCCCTTCATCTCTCTGGTCCTGTGTGTGTGTGTGTGCATGTGTGTGTGTTGAAAGGCAGTGGTTTGTTCACACCCAGCCCCTCATCTCTCTGGTCCTGTGTGTGTGTGTGTGTGTGTGTGTGTGTTGAGAGGCAGTGGTTTGTTCACACCCAGCCCCTTCATCTCTATGGTCCTGCGTGTGTGTGTGTGTGTGTGTGTGTGTTGAGAGGCAGTGGTGTGTTCACACCCAGCCCCTCATCTCTCTGGTCCTGTGTGTGTGTGTGTGTGTGTGTGTGTGTTGAGAGGCAGTGGTGTGTTCACACCCAGCCCCTCATCTCTGGTCCTCTTCCACTGGGCCTGGTTGGTCCGACCTCCCCATCTCAGAGCCCCTGCCAACACCCACTCTTTCTGCCTCCAGGAGTCAGCACCATGGCAGAAGACATCAAGACCAAAATCAAGAACTACAAGACCGCTCCGTTTGACAGCCGCTTCCCCAACCAGAACCAGACCAGGAACTGCTGGCAGAACTACCTGGGTGAGCAGTGCATGGGGGTGGAGGTACAGGCCCTCCCCTGCACCCACACCGCAGGTCACTCACCTCTCATCTCCTCCCCAGGGATCCGGGCATCCCGGCCTCCCCACTTATTCAGACAGCCTTGCCCCTCATTACCATCTGTGGGCAACGTTTATTTATTTTTAAGATTTATTTGTTTGTTTGAAAGACAGGGTTACAGAAAGAGAAGGACAGACACACAGAGAGACATAGCTCCCTATCTTCCATCTACTGGTTCACTTCCAAGGTGTCCGCACTGCTAGGGTTGAGCCAGGCCAAAGCCAGGAACCCGGAGCTGCATCTGGGTCTCCCATGCAGGTGACCAAAGCCCAAGCACTTGGGCCATCTTTGACTGCTTTCCCAGACACCTTAGCAGGGAGCTGGATTGGAAGTGGGGCAGCCGGTATGCAAATCGGCACTCTTACGGGATGCCAGCATTGTAGGCAGACTCAACTCTCTACACCACTACTGCAGCCCCACAAAGACTTGTTTGTGAACAGATGGGTGTATGCGTGCATGTGTATGTCCATAGTGTAACATACATACAGAAAATAAATAAAACGTGCGGCTAAATGATAATTCTAAAGTGAACTCAAAGCCATAACTCAAATAGAAGAATTGCTGTCAGGGCCGGCCCTGAGGCAGAGTGGGTAAAGCCGCCGCCTGCAGTGCTGGCATCCTGTATGGGCACCAGTTTGAGTCCTGGATGCTCCACTTCCGATCCAGCTCTCTGCTATGGCCTGGAAAAGCAGTAGAAGATGGTACAAGTCCTTGGGCCCCTGCACCTGTGTGGGAGACCTGGAAGAAGCTCCTGGCTCCTGGCTTTGGGTCGGCACAGCTCCAGCTGTTGTAGGCATCTGGGGAGTGAACCAGCGGATAGAAGATATCTCTCTCTCTCCTCTGCCTCCGCCTCTCTGTAACTCCGCCTTTCACATAAATAAAATTTATTTATTTATTTTTTGACAGGCAGAGTGGATAGTGAGAGAGAGAGACAGAGAGAAAGGTCTTCCTTTGCCGTTGGTTCACCCTCCAATGGCTGCCACGGCTGGTGCGCTGCAGCCGGCGCACGGCGCTGATCCAAAGGCAGGAGCCAGGTGCTTCTCCTGGTCTCCCATGGGTTGCAGGGCCCAAGCACTTGGGCCATCCTCCACTGCCTTCCCGGGCCACAGCAGAGAGCTGGCCTGGAAGAGGGGCAACCGGGACAGAATCCAGCGCCCCGACCAGGACTAGCCGGCGCCGCTAGGTGCAGGATTAACCTATTGAGCCGCGGCACCGGCAACATAAATAAATCTTAAAAAAAAAAAATAGCTCTTGCCTGCAGGCTGCCGTCTCCCCTGCCAACTTCTTGCTTCATCTGGAACACAAGGCCTTACCCTCCCCTGCCTACTTAGGGTGACCATGCTTTTATCCCACCATTTATTTACATCTAACTTGCGTTTGTGAACTTTAAGAGTCGTATATCTTCTGTGGTGGTTGGATTTCGTCAGTGGGTTTCAGGTTCATCTATGCCGTAGTGTGTACTTTGCTCATTTCCACTGTGCAGTTCCCCAGAACATACTATGTTCATGGACACTTGTGTGTTCCATTTGGGAGCTCCTAGGAGTGCCGCTGCCATAAACATCCCTATAAATATAATTTTATGTCTGTGTGCATGCTCTTCTCTGGGGAAAAGGCCAAGGAGTGGAATACAGCAGTTTTCCTTTTTTAATTGTCTACTTTTGAAAACCTGCCTTCCTGTCTAAGACTTAGCATCGAAACCCATCCTTCTCTTCCTTGCCCTGGCTCGGGACTCCCATAATCCCCACACACCCTCCTCATGCTCCCTATAATTCCTGAACCCACAGCTTTCACACCAAGCGTTCCTACGGCAGGGGTGGGGACGTCTGGCCTGCAGGAAACCGCATAAGTCCCCTGAAATCATCTGGCCTGGCCCTGCCAAGGCAGCTGCAGGTGGGCTCGAAATTCAGTAAATCCCGGGCCAACGCTGTGGCACAGTGGGTTAAGCTGCCGTGATGCCGGCATCCCATATGGGCACCGGTTCAAATCCTGCCCGCTCCACTTCTGACCCAGCACCCTGCTCATGGGCCTGGGAAAGCAGTGGAAGGTGGCCCATGTACTTGGGCCCGTGCAACTGGGTGAAGCCCCTGACTCCTGGCCTGATCCAGCCCCGACTGGCTGCTGCAGCCATCTGGGGAGTGAACTGGCAGATGGAGAGATCCCTCTGTCTGCTTCTCACCCCCCACCCCCAACACTGCCTTTCAAATAAAATAAAAATCAGTCGTTTTAAAAAAGAAATTCAATAAATCTGTAACAGGCTAATTTTTAGTTGATAATTTTATATGGCCCACAAATGATGTTAGAAATGTCCAGATGGCCCTTGACAGAAAAGATTCTTCAGCCATGCCCTAAGGGTCACAAAATGAACTTAGCCGCTAGTGAGCGCAGGTGAGCTTTTGTTTCCTGTCTGTGTACAAGCGATCATGAAGTGAAAAGCGTTTCTCACGGAGTTTGATCAAAACTGGCTTCCAGTCCTTGGTCTGCCCTGAACCCGAATCTCCTTCTTCCCAGACTTCCACCGCTGCGAGAAGGCGATGACCGCAAAAGGGGGTGACGTCTCTGTGTGCGAGTGGTACCGGCGTGTGTACAAGTCTCTCTGCCCCATCTCCTGGGTATGTTCCTCCCACTGGGGCCTCTGGGATGCCGGGTTGGGGAGGGTAGTGAAGGCCATGTGTGTTGTTTTCCCATCAGATCAGATGAGTATAGCATTTTTTTTAAAAAGATTTATTTATTTATTTGAAAGTCAGAGTTACACAGAGAAAGGAGAAGCAGAGAGAGAGGTCTTCCATCTGATGGTGCACTCCCCAATTGGCCACAACGGCCGGAGCTGCGCCGATCTGAAGCCAGGAGCCAGGAGCTTCCTCCGGGTCTCCCACGTGGGTTCAAGGGCCCAAGGACTTGGGCCACCCTCCACTGCTTTCCCAGGCCATAGCAGAGAGCTGGATCGGAAGTGGAACAGCCAGGACTCAAACTGGTGCCCATAGAGGATGCCGGTACTGCAGGTGGTGGCTTTACCCTCTACGCCACAGAACCAGCCCGTCTTTTAGTTCTGATCTGATCGTCCGTCCTTTTGTTGGTGTTAAATACTCTTTGCCCTCTTTTTTTTTTTTTTTTAAAGCATTTATTTTTTTATTTATTTGAAAGAGTTACAGAGAGAGGTAGAGACGGAGAGATAGGTCTTCCATCCACTGAATCACTTCTCTCTGTAGCAGAGAGCTGGATCAGAAGTGAAGCAGCCGGGACAGAAATCGTGCCCACCTGGGATGCGGCGCTGCAGGCAGAGGCTTACCTGATCGCAGTGAGATGGGTCAAGCCGCTGCGTGCGACCAGAGAGTGGCTTCTCCGCTGCTGACCCAGCTTCTTGCTAGTGCACCCTAGAAAGCAGCAGATGCTGGCTCCCAGCTCTGGCCTGGCCGAGTGCTGGCTGATGTGGGTATTTTGGTAGTGAACCAACAGATGGAAAATGTCCCTAGCTCTGCCTCTGTCCTGCCTTC